CAGTGGTTGATAGTGGAGAGAACTGGAGCGTAGGACAGAGACAGCTTCTGTGTTTAGGCAGGGTTATGTTGAAACGAAGCAGACTTCTCTTCCTAGACGAAGCAACAGCATCTGTGGATTCCCAAACCGATGCCGTGATTCAGAAGATTATCAGAGAAGACTTTGAGTCGTGTACTATAATCAGCATAGCTCACAGGATCCCTACGGTGATGGACTGTGATCGAGTCCTCGTCATAGACGCAGGTAAAGCTAAAGAGTTTGATAGCCCGGCTCGTTTACTTGAGAAGCAGTCACTATTTGCGGCGCTGGTGCAAGAATACGCTCTCAGATCTGCTGGCATATGAAAATTTAAAAGGTTGCCTGAATATTTTAAGATTTTCTTTTGAACTGACAGAGAAATTGTCGACCTTGTTATTGTGTAACTGAATCAAACAAGTAAAATAAATTTCTAAGAGCAACTTGAACATTCTTATTTTTTTTTGAGTGATTTACTGTAATACCCAAAATTGCTGCTCAAATTAGTGGTTTGTCCATTGATGGACATTAATAGTCTAAGCCATACAATTAAGCCTGAAAATATCCAAAATGTCTTTCTTTAACGGATAACTGTCTGCTAGTTAGACCATGTACAATGGTTTCAATAACCATTTCATTTTCAACACATACTTTTCTCTTTTTTAACATTTCACATCCTTTCTCTTTCATCCACCTAATTTATTCAACATCCTCTTCATTTTTAACTTCTATAATAATTTGTTTATAAAAATTCAACACCCTGTCCCACCACTTTTAATTTATCATTTTATCTTTATAATATAATAACTATATGTTAATAATGTTCTTAGTTCTAATTGACTTAAAAACTAAAATAATATAACTTTAAATAAAAAAATGTTGAATTTTTGAAAAGTTATGATTAGAATTTATTTAACAAAAAAAGTTTAAAACATTAAAATAGTTAATTATAGGAAAAATGACGTTTTTTGCTGTGTCCAAATGATATGAGAGTACTCTATATTTATAGCTTGTAAAAAGTTATGAATTTTGATATAACTTTAATTATTTAAAATAAAAATATTATATAATAAATGAGTTTTAGTTATTAGGTGAAAATAAAAATATTGGGGTGATTGGTTGAACTGTAGATTTAAAAATTTTACTGTAGAATTTAGACTGTAGATGTTTTTGATGTAGTTGTATCTAATGTAGATGTGGAAATTAAATGAAAAAAAATATAAAAAGAAATATATTCCTACAACAATCCTACATCAATAATTTTTTGCTTTAGAAAATAGGGTTACTACAACCACTTTTCCAATTTTTTGACTTTAGCTTTAAAATCTACTTAAAGCATGATTGGTGATTTAAATGGTTGTAGATATAAATTAAATCTAAAGTCATTACTTACAACTCAACCAATCACCCTCTGCACAACATTTATATCCAATCAATTTCTGCTAAGTGGCAAAGCTGGCCCACATAAAATTTTTATCAACATATTGAAATTTTCCAACAGGTGTTGAATCCACATAGATAAACACAATATTTCAACACCCTCATTGTAAGGTGTTGAAACTCACTTTCAACACCCCCATTGTGGGTGGTCTTACCAAGAAATAATATCCATTGTCTATACCTACTTCATTTTTGTCCACATATTTGTTAATTTTTTTTAATGCTAAAAATATTATCAAATAATAATATTTTTGAAAATATAATATAACAAAATTATAAAGATAAAATAATTTAACATTTAATAGAATTGAAAACATATCTTACAATTGATTGCAAGATTTCAACATCTCTAAAATCTACAATTTGTTATAAATTTGATATTAGTGTTAGATTATTTTTTAACGGTTAACTCATTTGTTAAATGATACATGTTTTGTTACCTGATAAATTTACTCAGTTCGGGAGAGAAATTGAAACTTCGACAACATTTTTTTGTTAACATATAATACGTAACACATGTATTGACATCTACAAATTTATTAACAACTAACACCTCTGTTAAAAGTTATTGTACATGTATTTGTTAACAACTAAGACATTTGTTAACATCAACAAAATTTGTTAACAGTTAATGTTTCTGTTAGTATAACTGGTACATGTATTTGTTAACAGCTAACATCACATTATTATATATATATATATTATTAACAATACATTGGTTAATATTATATATAGCAAATTATAATTTGAAATAAAAAATATTTCATCAGATAAAGAAAATAACAAAAAAATAGAATAGAGAATGACAAAAAAAAATATGATGAGAGAATTTGAAAGTGAGAAAGAAATGATATCGAAGGAAAGAAAGAGAGTGTCAGGAGAGAGAGTGGTGAAAGAGAGTCAAAAGGGTATGCTGGTCATTAATTTAGAAGAGTCACATCATGGATAATTTTATAATTATAAGAATGATTTAGGGTGTCTCAACAAATTGTCTTTTTATATATATATATATATATATATATATATATATGTTATAGTGCTCAATTAGGATTTGGACCCGCAGTTCGCGTAGAAAACAATACTAGTTTTAAATACAACTTAAAAAGACTAATTTTATATAAATATATATATATACTACTGGTATTCCATTGCTATGCACCGGATTTATATGTTTTATTTTTACATGAATGTATAATTTATTTTATGGTCTTAGTAAATAGAATATGTTCAAAAGTGTGAGGATGCTATTATTTATTACTCTGTTTTCATACTTGCATAAAAGTGTGCTAATACGTATGTTCATGTATCGTTTGTCAATAGGAAGAAAAAAACACCGTTGGCTGTTTGACACCATCTGATTTTGATTAATTTATACTCCATCCATACTCTTATCAATAGTATCAACAATGCAATTTCAGAACTCAGTTAAATATATGTATACACTATACATACTCTTATAGCAAGTTGCGAGGTACACAATCAAAGAACGGGAATTGGAGATGGTTGATGCATTTGAAAAAGATTAGAAAATGGTAATAATACTTTTACAGCTTATTATATAAACTAAATATAAATAATTATAACCGTACTCAAAATGTATACCTACACTAAAAGTATAAACTATTTCAAATTGATATCTATTCTATTAAAATAGAGTCATTCTTTTTATCTAGTGATACAAGTTGTCATTTAAATTTGGACCCTTTCTAAAATGTTACAAATAATATAAGTCATATAATTGATTGAACCGTATTACTAAAACTAAACCAACACAATTAATGTAAAAGACGACCTTAATGTAAAGTACCTTCAAAATATGACAGATATCTATATGTATACCGAAAACACATATTTTCTCCTACAAATATGGAATGTTCTAAAAGAATATATATCATCAAAATATGTAATATGGAAATCTACTAATTATACTTAAATTAAAACAGTCGTTATTTATGGAATATAGTCTTGGGCTTACTTTTATTTTTTGAACAAATTATATAGTTTAGTTTTTGAGCTTAGTATTAAGAAAAAACTCCAAAAAACATTGAAAAAACTTTTCACCATAAAAGATCAAAAAATCAATTATTATTTTCAGATCCAAAAGGTATTTAATATTTCTAACAAAACAAAATTATCTATTATTAATCATTTACTTAAATCATGTACTTTAAAAAATGTTAATATATTTTTCTATTTTAAATAACAATCACTTTGTTTTGATAAATTTCAATTGTAACTTTTAAATAATTTATTGTTTTATTTTTCTTAAATAATTTACTGATTAAAAAATGTAAAGCAAAACCAAAAACCAAATCTAAAAACTAAAATCCTAAACCAAAAACTGAAAACACATATTATATTTTTTTTGCTTTGTTTTACAAAATAAACTATTTCAATTTTTTTTTAAGTTTATTTTCATCTTTTCAGCTTTAAATTAGATGTTTGATTATTTAAGATTTGTTTATTGGTAATATCAGTTCAAACTAACTCAGCGGGTTTAAAAATTAAAAACCCAAACCAAAAACTGAAAATGAAAAGTAGAAACTTAAAAACCAAAAACCAAAATCTAAAAATAAAAAGTGAAACTAGAAACTAATGAAAAACAATCATCACCACAAATTTTGGTGAACTATTTTTATATCATAATATTCTTTAAATTAAGACAATACCCAATTATATAAAATTTTAATCATAAAAATTTTCCGCGCTTTAAAAGTGCGGGTTAAAATCTAGTTGCTATATTCTAATTTGGTATATAACTTTAAGAGAGACTGATTCCCTAAACATATTTACAATATAAAGATATTCAATAATACAAAATAAAACCTAAAAAAGAAAAATAAAAATATAGCTATCTAAATTAGAATCAAGATAGAAAATTTTATGTTCATGTTTAAACTCACGCATTCGAATTGAACTCAAAATTTTATCAGATTCTAATTATTTTATTATAAGAAAAAACTAAATTAACTAAACTCAAACTAAATTTAAATTCAGAAATAATCGAATGGTTCTTATATTTTTTGAACCGAAAATCAAAACATACAATGTGAAACCGAACCGGAAATTAATACCCGCACTTGAACATACTAATGAACAAAAGACATATTAATAAATTTTTCAACAAAAGTAATTTTGCGTTTTCAAAGCGCAGTTCTATCCTAGTTATAAAATCATTCATCCAGTTATCAACTGGATGTATAGATATTATTTACGATTATAAATTTTATTAGTTATAGTAGTAATTAAACTTACCTATTTTAGTATTTTAGATATGTATAATCTTTTTGGAACACTTGTAGATATGTATCAAACATATATCAAACCTTACAATAGGATAGAGTAAACAACACACTCTGACTAAGCATATACAGCTCAAAATTATTCATTATCTGGATGCGTATACGATTTAATTTTTCTTCTTTACAAAAAAATTGCGACTTTTAATTTTCTTAGTCAGGGTAATAATTAAATTTACGTATTTTAAATCTGTAACCAGATATTAAACCAAAAACATGATAGAGTAAACAACGCATATATAGCTCGAAAAATATTTTGAGTAATTTTATTAGAGGCACATTTAGATTCATTTAACATTATTATTACGTGGCTTATGGGACACAACACGTACTCACTCACTCAACAAATACTATGAACGCAAATAACAAATTTATATACCAATACCAAAGGCCTCATAATACTCTGTTTGTTACTTTTCTAGGACGGAGCTCCGGGCAAATTCCCTCGTGCTAGTCGGAGATGACCCGGAACACGTTGCTTTATCTCTTCTAATGCACACAATGTCTCCGAATCGAGCCCTCCCGCAAACTGAAAGAACATTGTAAATATCAAATGATCAAAATACCAACCGTACGGAACAAATGCTATTTTATATATGAGATTTAGGATTACCTGGTGCGTTCTGTAAGCGAACCGGACTCCTTGGAGAAGCAACGCTTCTTGAGTAGACTCCCTATCCATGTTACGAGCTGATTCTAGCTCGTTTGCAACTCTATTCATGTAGGTTTTAGCAAGCTTGATAGATGTCCTTTTGATCTATCAATGGGATACCAAAAGTTAAAAATAGTACAAACTAATACTAAGTGTAACCAATGATTTGCTTAACGAGACAAAAGAAAGACCATACATAGAAAGAGAAAAACAACATACCTTACTTATCATCCCCGAATCAAGCATCCACTCGACTGGGATTTTAAAGTCCTGGTAAGAACGCATGGACGAGCCGCGTAGCCTGACTAGCCTCCTTACCCCCTGCTCCGACCTTATCATAACGAGGGTTTTATTTTATTCAATATTTTGAGGAATCTAAAAAAAAGTTCAGTGAGCATCAAAGTTAGGGGACTTGTTTTACTTGTCTAATAAGTTGACCATTTTCTTCAGGGCAACACCATAGTGAATGGTCGAATCATCGGAGTAGGAAGAAAGTTCTTTCTCCAGTTTCTTTAGCTCGCGGTACTCAACTGCAGCCTCTTGCAGGGCATCAGCTTTCCTCTCAGGCCACTTGAAATGCTTAAGCACAGCTCGCTCATCAGCCTTAGGCAAAGAAGAATGCACATGTACGACATGTGACAACATAAAACTCGCTAAAACATGACTAAGTGATATACATTATGACCTTAATTAAAAACAAGACTTAGGCCATTACCAGAGTTGCTAGTTCATTATCAAGCCAATCCACAAACTTCGTTACATCTTCCATATCCAAAAAACAAGTTGTCAAAACTTTCTGGATAAGATCATTGATGAAATCTCCTTTTGTCTCAATGTCGGCCTTTATCTGTGGAACAAAACGAAGCTCTCATCACATGACCAAGGCAAGACTCATGTAAAAAGCAAAGGAAAAAATTTGGCTGCTTACAGCGATGAGATGGGCGGAACGGTTTTGAATTTCTCCAACTATACTATTGTGAGCACTGTTAACCTGAGACTTGTTTCCACTAACAGACGGCGAAATGTCTCTAATGTTATCTTGCTTTTTCAGCAACTGAAAAAGCTGTGAAACTGGAGGTGACTTCTGAGCACGAGCTGCTTTAGCAAGAGGCCTAGGTGGTGGTGGTGGCGGAGGAGGTGGTGGTGTTGGTGGTGCAATAGGTGATGAAGCTTCATCTCTTTTACCTGAATTGGTAGAAGGTGGAGATACCAAAAATTTTGGAAACGGCGGTCTTGAAGGTAAAGGTGATGGTGGAGATGATCTTGATGACTCTACCACTACCTCCTTTTTAGCCTTCGATTGCTCTAATTTGCTAGCGATTAACTTCTGTATATCTTTAAATCTTGTGTTCTGATGTTCTTTAGCTGGCTGCATCAAGAAAAACACTTGTGTCAGATTACTTGTAATGACATAGCTGGATGTTCTTTAGCTGGCTCCCAATTTTTTTTTGGAAAATTGCATAAGAAATAAACGCCCCTAAATGGCCTAATATAGCCCCTAAAATCTCCGGTTGGGCCTTGTGCAATGGTGAGATGTTACCTTGTCGTTAGAGGAAAGAGATGAAATCTTAGCTTCAGCTGAAACAAGATCTTGAGAAAGCTTCTTGTTCTTCAACTCAAGCTCTGCATTTGAGTTCCGAGCTTCCTCTAGTTCTGTCTTCAAACTCAAAACCTGCGCTTCCAAATCCTTAATCAGTGACTCGTTCGCTACAAGCTTCTCCTCCATTTTCTTCCTTTTCTCATCTTCCTCCGCCGCAGCAGCCATTGCTGCTTCATCGCTCCTCCTAGAAATTTGCCGCCTCGGACAACCGAATTGCTCCACCACCGCCGGACGGTTTACAGACCGAGCTCTCTGAGGTGCTAGAACCGCTGTCTCATCCTCTCTGGAGTTTGCTCTCTTGAGCAGAAATGATCTCCGGTTCTTAACCGGATCGTTCTTCACATCGTAACCAGAAGATTTCGGTTTACTGTTGTCGTCTTGTGCTCGAGGTCTAGAAATGACTGAGTAGTGTGAATTCGCAGCTCTCACGCGGGAAGGAGTGATGGAGGTGGCGGAAGTACGTGACATTACTGATAATTTTCCGCCTTAGACGGCGGTTGCCGGCGAGAAGAGTCGTTAGCTTTGACTAGTGAAAAACTGAAAACCAAAGAGACGACTTGCAAAGCTGTCCGAAAAAAGAAACAACAACTATAATATTAATCGCCAATCTTTAGTCACATGAATCTTTATGCGATCAATCATATGGTTATTTAACTAATAACCGTTTAGAACGATGAACCAAGCAACTAATGGAGGAATGATCCGTCTAGAGGAAACAGTAGGCTTTGAGGCCCACCAATACTTTTCACGACTTTTGTAATAAGACAAAAAGATGAGGTGGTGGACCTATATTCCTGTTTTTTCTTGTTTCTTCATTTTATTCCGAAATAACGTGTCATCAAAAACCTAACACACACGAGAAGTAGACAATGTCCTTGTGTCGATATAGTCGATGTAGCAACAGTATAAGTGTTTGCGTGTTACAATAACCAAATAAAATCACTGTTGCGTTTTTTTCTCTTGAAATGTATCTTTCTGTTTTAAAACAAATTATTTTTAATGAAATTTATAATCGTTTACAAGCTTTATCGTAGGATAAAAGCATATGTTAAAAATCGGACTAGAGAAATGGACCCGACCCACCAATAATTTGTCTCATGTTGAAGTTGCAAATGGAACAAAGAGCATTTTGACATTAATGATGTGACCATTATGTTTGGAATAAAAGCTGTATGTTCTATTAAAACTGCATACATAATTACATACAAAAGAGAATAGAGTAAAAAAAATAAAACATGTTTAGACGAAAAGGGAAGAGTATGTCCTAATCATACTCAAACTCAAAGCTGTTAGTGACTATTGGTTTACAAGTTAAGTTATTGACTTGTTCTGTGGATTTAGGAGATTTTGATCATAGTTTGTTCATAATTATAATAGAAATGATTTTGTCCCTAAGGCAATTATAGGCTATATATTTAGTTGCCTTGCTAGGTAAATCTACTTGCAACTATCTATGTTTTTATTGGACTCTCACGGAAAAAAAAGGAAAAAACAAAGCACGGAAAACACTTTGTTTGATAGGAAAATCATAACTATGTGTATGATGAAAATTACATTTTATCGAATAAAGTATGAGGTTACCATTTGTCTAGTCAATTTTTTTCTTTTTTTAAAATTTAGCACTATAGATCTTATTTTGTTTGCTACTGTAACTTAAATAATATATATTTTTAAAACATAGCAGTAGTATTATTTAAATAGCTTAAGGAACAAGAAACTAAGACGCAGACTATCAAATACTTTTTTTTGCTAAGGAAGACTATCAAATACTTATATGATTAGAAACAAAATTATTCATAATAATTTGCATCAAATATATATATATAAAGAAACTAAAAACACCAATCCTTAACTCTAAATCTTGTCACATATGCATGTGTGTAGAAACGTTTTTAACAAATTAGAGCCTAGAATGTACCATGGACCATAAAAATAGACATGTACGAGGGTAAATCATAGGAACCAGTGTATCATGCATAATTCTAAGAATAGCAAGGATCATTTGGATGGAACTACAAAAAACTTGCTTCGTGGATCAGGGTACAAGAAAAGAAACATAAGATTTGGTAATCAAGAAAATACAAAACAAACTTGCTTGCCATATAACATTTGAGGTTGAGTGAAACAAAAGAGGCAAAGTCTTTATCTAATTACGAAGTTAATTCACGTATATCTAAACGAACATCACTTCTACATGGATTAATAATAGGCATGATCTTCATTCAAAAAATTAATACCATAGGCATGATCGATGTTGTTAACTTTCAGAAAGGGAAAGAGATTATGGAGAAATCAAGAATCAAACGATGTATATATAGTACCTTGGAGATAAACTCTTGAAGGAGAAAGAAAAATATCGTCTTGAAAAAACCCTGTATACATTCTCATTAGTGATGATGATGAGCGATGCGATGATATATAATTCTCAGAAAGGCGATAGACATGATGGAGAAATCAAGATTCAAGAAGCAAAAGATATATATAGTACCTTGGAGATAAAAATCTTGAAAGAGGAAGAAAGATGAGACTCTTAAAAGAGGAAGTAGAATGTCTTCAAAAAAACATTTTTACATTCTAATCAGTGATGATGATGAGCGATGATATTGCACGCAGCTCTTTTATATATACATGCTTACGATGACATCAGATTCATGAATCATGTGTGCAAATTATACGTGTGTGCTTTATATCTCTGTGCGGGGATGAATATGAAATCGTTTCTTATATATATATATATATATATAATTATTTATGCTCGAAGGTATGTAAGGTGTCTTGCAGTCTTGGAAACATCAAAACCTTGAAGGAACCGGATGAAAATATAATTTAATCTAATTAAATAACCACAAAGGAAAGGAAAAGAAATATAGAGATCTGTTAGTACCTCGCAATCTTGTATATTGAATATTGATCAATGTTTAGTTTTAGTTTACCGGCCGATTGTGACAAAATAAAAATTTCACCGGCCAGTTTTAAGCTGATTTTTAACTATTAGTCTCTTACTAATTAGTAATTAGATTGAAATATATCGAGATCAATTAATTCAAAATATTTACAAATAAGTTGTTTATCAGTTTTGATCAAATTTTGAGTATAGTATTCTTTTATATTTTATATCAATCAATGGAACATAATCATGACTACACAGCTCAAGTTATAGATGATATCGATCAAATTTACTTCATAATAGAGTGAAAATATATCATATTTAAATTAAATAATGTATAAACAAACTAAAGGTAGTAATTATTTATCTGTAGTTGTTTTAATTTGTTTGATTTAGATGATATGAATCTATCTTCAAGAGAAGATAACTATGTTTTCATGTGTAATCTTTATTTTCAGCAAACCATAAGATATAAGTAACACATGATGTAAAAACATTTTTTTTTGTTTAAATTAATTTAACATTTATTCAAAAAAAGAGAAAGAAAAAGAATAAAAAAATATATATATGCATCATGAACCTTAAAAAGAATGTTATCTATAATTATATATACTTAGATACTAAAAATATGTAGTCTTTACAGAATATATATGCATCATGAACCTTAAAAACACTAAACAGAGAGAAGAAAAGAACCTTTAACGCTCACATGGGAATCTACATTAATAACAATGTATGTATATGCAGCCGTCTTTTTCATGATTGGAGTAGGAATCAAACAATAGTTAAATACGGACAAAGCAGGTGTACCCTTTTTGTATGCAAACTAATATGATAATAAAATACCACAAGATAAGGTGATGCATAAAAAGAAAGGAGAAAACTTGATTAGATGATGGGTCATGTTCGAGAAAAAGGAAGAGTGTTTTTTTCGTATGCCTCTCAACTGAAGAAAACCATTCCAAAGTAACTTATTTCAATAATTATAGATAAATATTTGAATTCCAATTTATTTATACCTTTACGGTTGAACAAAGATAGATGTCAATCCATTGTCATACAGTCGCCGTCAAGAAATAAGTTTGTTTATCTTTTTATTTTTGTAAAAAAAAATAAGTTTGTTTATTGATATGTTTCAAACATGAAAATGAATTAATGTCAGGTATATATTCTGCATAAGTATGTGGTCATTTTTCTTTGGTAATTACAACTAATTTATATAACTTCAGGTATAAAGCATGTGTGTCTATATAAAGGCTATTTGCATTTCTAAAAGTTTCTTCGCTAGATTAAATTTTTTGATAATAATTTGTAATTGTGGTATATAGTTAATCAATTTTGGTTTGAATATTTGTAAATTGTAAGTATTTAAAAATTTATTTATATATGTTAAAATAAGGGATAATTTGCTAACTAACCAAATTCTAACAAGAAATTAAGAAAACAACATTGATTTTGACATTATTAAATAACTAACATTTACTCCATATGTTATCTGGTAATACCCTTCCCATCCCCTATATATTATTTGAGAATCATTTAAAAAGTTGTAACCTTAATTTTGTAAGAATTAAAAATAACCCCAATCCTACGTGGCATAGCTCTTTGACTTCTATTTTAAATCTCAAGGATTCTAGAGCATGTGATATAATGTATAGTTTAAAAATTATATTCTCTAGCAATATAATATTCCGTAGGCTATAGTTGATCGCATATATCAAATATTTATTGTTTCGCATACTTTCCTTAAATAAAACCTACGGAATTAATGTGATCAAAATATATATATGACAATTAATGATTTTAAACAATAAAGATTTGATAACAATCTGTATACTTTTTTCATTTTGTTTATTTCTTTATTATTAAAATAAATGACATAATTACATTAATCATAAGTATGTATTTTTCATATAATAAAAATCTAGGTTTTTTTGTGTATGTTGTATTTCGAATTTTTCAAAATGAGTATAAATTACTAAAACTGTTAAAAGTCCCACATAAACTTTTAAGATCAAGGTTTTAATTTTTTTTCTAAACTAAAATATAATGATTATAAGACCATATGAAGAAATAATTTTAGTATATATATATTTAATATCATTTTAATTAAACTATACATCATATGAAAATACATACTTAAATTTTTATATTTGTCTTGAACATATATTGAAAAGTTAATATTTTAATTTTGAAATATGTCATTGTTTTTTTTAAAATGATTATAAAATTATTGAAACTACTAAACATCTCACATTAAAAAAAATTCGTTGGTGTAAATTTTTGTTACACAAATATGCAAATAATCATAAAATCATATGAGTATAAACCTCATTTAATAAATATACATATTAAAAGTGTGTTATATTACTATGTTTATATCATTTAAATTTAATTATATATCATATACAACATATAAGATTGGTTATTTTGATTTGTTTACACTAATTGTGAATAAACAAGAGTAATAGTTAAATTTATATGCATACGCCAATTTATTACATAATAGTAACTGATTTCTTAGTTATTTAATATATATTTGTTATTTTATTATTTATAATATGCATAAAAATATAAAATAAATAATAAATATAAAATACTTATTGTGCATTAAGTGAAGATCTTAACCTAAGTATGTATCTCTTTAATTATTTTAAATGTTAAGTATTTTCTAAAACAAACGAATTGAGAATAAAATTCAAAATAAATATTTATATCGAGTAATAACCAAAATATAAAAAAACATAGCAAGAGAAAAATAGAAGATAAATAGGACTGACACATGAACGTAAACTTCTCATAACCATAATTAATTTTTAAATTGTTAAATCATGATATAAAACTGAGTTAATTTTTAATTTGTTAATTTTTAACTTTTTAATTTTTTAAATCATAATGGTTATGTTAAATCATGACCATAATTAATTTTAAATTGTTTATTTGTATTTGAAAAACTTAAAATATTGTTTTTAAAAATAATTTAAAATTTAACATAATTTTTTTATAAATTATTTTTAAAAATAATAATTTGTAAAAAATATAATTTTGTAATATTATTAGACATATAAATAAATTATATTAAATTAGTTTTGAAACTTTACATATTTTAAATGCAAATACTTTACCAATTGGTTCTTAAAAAACATTAGGGAACTTGCTAATACTCTACCAATCAACCCCAGTGACACTCCATTTATTTTCCATCACTCGAACATTGAAAAGTGAAAAGATATATGAAATCAGATCCATTAAGTTCTAAGATTTGATCTACATTTCTAACTAAAATTGTTTCTTATCCTACGTATAGATAATTATATAAAAATTTCCAAATTCTTAAATTTCAAACACATACAAAAACAATCATATGTAAATTTTAAATTTGTCAATACTAAAATTTTATATTTAATTACATATATTCACCATGCGCAAGGTGCAAGTCTTATCTTAGTTAACAAGTATCCAGTGATGAAAAAAGAAGAGAATAGAGATGTCTTCATTTGAAGTAATGGACAAAAGTGAATCATATTTATTTATAATTACCTTATGTAAAACCAGCCACATACCATTTATTTACCCAAAACATATTCACTATATATAATAAAATAGAAAATTTTGTGTGTATTTTATATAATCATAATACCTAAATACTAGTCATTACCACACTGTCACATTCAATAGTATATTCTATTTATTTATACTGTAATTCTATTCCATGTTATTTTGGTTTTACAGCATTGAAAATTTGAATCTTCTATTCCATATCATTAAAATAGTATAAGATACCAATTATATTTCAACCTTTAAAATTTAGATACTAAATCTTATCACAACCCCACCACAACCCCTAAAAACTAAACCCAAAACTCTAATCCATGATTCATAAACCTAAATATAAACCCTAAACCCAAATAGAATGAAATAAAATAAATAGAAATATACTCGTGAAATTATGAAATGTCTATAACTGCATGTAAGAAGTAATGCTTACCCCAACTATATACCCTCTCACCTTCTAAATACTAAAACATAAAATTCAAATATAAATCCTAAACCCAAATATCAAAATCTAAAAAAAAAATATTATTATGTAATACAAAACTATATAATATATAATATGATTTTTACAGATTAAAAAACATGTAAAGATAGATAGAACTCAAAAAAATTTCAAACTATATTTCTAAATAAAATAGAACACTCTTTAGCAATTGACAAATGGAATGTAATATGATCAAATAGTATGATAACATAATAAATCGCATTACATAATATGTATAAGACAAACATAATAAATATTATTATACATTTCTATTCTATATACATAAAATAGAATAGAACAAAATTTAACAAACAATGTTAATCTTCTCCATCAATTTTGGGTCATTACGATGATATCCATTCACCGATCCACCGTTGTTACCATCACCCGAAATCAAAACACAAACAACTTGAAAGTTAAAGAGGATAAGCATATGAGGCTGTACAGATACATAATTCCAAATCAAAACTTACAGGTTTACAGATATTATCTTCACTCACTGATGAAATTTAGACTGGGAAAAGTTATTGAAGGAGTCACTACACCGCCGTCGCTCCTGACAATTTCAGAATTGCCGAATCCTTTGACAAATATCACTGATGGAGATTTCTTCAACTTTGTCGCCTACCTCGTCTCCATCCATGTTATTTTTCAGCATCTATTTGTCGTTAACAATTTCTCAGATTTAAGAGAAAAAATGATTTTCCATAGAGATGTGAAGCAGCTTAGACCACCATGTATTATTTCCAATGAAAAAA